CTGTTTGCCCGTCCTGTTCGCCGCGCTCCTCAAATCAAATGTGTGAATTAATTAAAACACACTCAATTAATACATTTTTCCAGGTTATTGATAGGCTTTCATGGCTTTTCCCACCATGGCTGAGCCAGCTGCTTGGTACAGGAACATGTCCAGGACACACCAACAGCCACCCAGTGCAAATATTTACCCACCCGCCGCAGGGCAGAGCCGCCGGCAGCCTCTGTCCCGCCTGCGTCAGCGCGGGGATCCCCGTCCGTTAAACATTAACAGCCCTGTCTGCATGTCCCGAGGCTGGCCTGGCCCTCAGAACCACGCCCAGAGAGTCAGGATGTGGCCAAGTGAATAACGTGGCTATCGAAGGGGTTGTGGGGAGACGGAGCGGAGGATATGCTGGATTTTGAATTAAATTTATTTTTTTTTCCAAAATTGCCAGGTTCATTCTGCAAACAATGACTGATGCAAAAACCCTCTTGTGTGCCACTGCCTCATGTCATCCCCCTCCTGCCCTCACCCTGTCTCAGCATCACTAATCCAGCCTCTCCTGACTGCACCACAGGAGCCAGTGGCACTTCTGCCCAAGTTCAAGGAGCAGATCTTCTGGCAGGAAGAGGTTTGGAGAAGTCATGGTCATATCCTGCTGCTCCTTCTCCAGTCTGCAGAGCTAGAGACCCCAAGCGCTGGGGTTGCCCTTTACTTGCCTCCCTGCATCACTGGGGCAGAAAATGGGATGGTGGGAACCTTCTCCTCGTGTGAGATGTCAGCAGCTTTGTCCCTGCCTCATCTCAGTGGTCTCTCATTTTAAATTATTTACAAGGCAGAAATCCCAAATGTTTCCAGTCCTCTGTAGTTTGTGCTGAGCAAAGCAGTGGCCAAAGCCCACGGCCAGCTTACAGCATGGTCACAGCTTCCCACCACACTACCCGAGTGTCAGAGAGGAGGGACGGTGGCCAGGTCCACTCTTCCCCACGGCAACATATTTTCCAAGGTTCTTCTATAAAACCAACATGCCAAGGCCATGAAAAAAACCTTTCCTGTGACTTGAGGACTAATGGGGAAACTGAAAAGTACTTGGATGGTCCAGGCTTTCCTAACAAGTCACCTCCCCATCTAGCCAGGCATGCAAGAGCAAAGCTCTCTGGTAGACCAGGAGCCTTTGACCTCTTCACCAAACCACCCCAGGGCTCCCTCCATCAAAAGTGCTTTTTGGTCTGAGCTCAGCTGCACACAACTGCAGATGACAGACCTTCTGCCAGGTGAGGACGTGTAACGGAAGCACCATTTCACCAGGTCACAGGCATTTTCTCTTAACCCCTGGATTTCTGCATGAGCTTGTCATGGACAGCTGGACCCATGTGTTGCACTGACCCTCCAAGTTTTGTCCTCACAGGTCCAGGCTTTGTAATTTTGCATGGTGCAGGATTTCTCACTGGTTTGGTTAAAAACAGGGGGAAAACAGGCAAGAGAGCAGAGGAGGTTGATTGCATTGGCTTTGGCAGGAGCTCTATCTCAACACCACATCCCAGCAGGAAGAAATGCTCTCTGGAGAGAGAGCCCTGAAACAAACCTGCAACATGGCACCTCCAAACTGGTGGGCTTGTAAAAGTGAGTTTTCTAATTACAACCATGCCAAGAGAAACATTAAACCTTATTGACCCTGGTGAGACGGAGAGGAACCTCAAAGCTTCCTATAAACTATCTCCCACCTTCAAATTCCTAATATGAAACAAGACTGATGAGGACAGTAAATCCTGTCATCCCAGGATGGGGATGGAACAGTGCAGGGTGCTCAGGGGCTTACTGAGCATCCCCCCTGCACCCCAAAACCCACCCCGCCAACCCCAGCACTCACCCGGCAGACGGACATCTGGTTGGTGGTGAGGGTGCCAGTCTTGTCAGAGCAGATGACGGAGGTGCAACCCAAGGTCTCCACTGAGGGCAGGCTCCGGACGATGGCATTCTTCTTGGCCATGCGGCGCGTGCCCAGCGCCAGGCAGGTGGTGATGACGGCCGGGAGGCCCTCAGGAATGGCAGCCACCGCCAGTGCCACTGAAATCTTGAAATAGTAGATGGCCCCTCGAAACCAGGATCCCCCGTGGACAGGATCACTGAAGTGGCTGATGTTGATGACCCAGACGGCGATGCACACCAGGAAGATCACTTTGGAGAGCTGCTGGCTGAACTCATCCAGCTTCTGCTGCAAGGGGGTCTTCTCAGGCTCGGTCTCCACCATCTGGTTTCGGATCTTACCAATCTCGGTGTACACCCCTGTTGCAATGACGACCCCTACGGCCTTCCCAGCTGCGATGTTGGTGCCCTGGGAGGGAAGAAAGAGGCCAGAGTGGATACATGGCCATGAAACCTCTCAGCCCAAGTGGGGAAATGGGTCACTTCTTATGAAAGGAGAACATGAGATCTTGGTTAAGAGGAAAATGAGACATCCTGAGATCTCATATAAACCCACTTTAAAGCAGAAAGAGACCCCTTCCTGAGACCTCTCTTGCCCCTCGAGGACTTCACTTCTGTCCAAGAAGGGCATGACCAACGAGGAAACCCAAACTTGCACCAGCTACAGACTCAACCATAAACCTTCTCCCTGTCTGTCACGCGTCCTACTTGATAGAAAACATCTGAGATCACCCAAGGCATTTAAGGATGTCACGTACCACAGCCCAAATGAAATCCCTCAGAAGCAGGTCTCCATTTTAATGGATTTAGGGCTCTTTTCATGGATTCAAGTCTTTCTCATGTATTCACTACTCCCTGCGGCCATCATGTGGACTTGGTTGCTCTTTGCAAAACCACAGGAGAGGTGGGGACAGGCATAAAGGACTTACGGAGAAAAGCATGTTCTTCTTGTCCTGGTTGACAGCCCGGGGGTCAGGAATGGGGTCAGCATGTTTGATCACCGACACAGATTCCCCTGCCAAGAGAAGAGAGGGGAGGTGAACAACCGGCATTTCATCACCAGCCACCGCTCAGCGCTGTTAGGAGCCTGCATCGCAGCCCCGTGGCTTTTTAGAGCAACACGTTGCCACCAAACCATCCAAACATCCACCATGGGGATGTCAGAGCTGCGCCAAGGCGCTCTGATGATGAGGACTGCAGAAAAACAACCTGTGGAGCTCACTAGTGGCCGCGAGCTCCCGTACAGCCATATAGGATGGGGCCAAATCCCAGCGCCAGGAAGCCGCTGGTTTGCATGGTCAGATGGGGTCTGTATGGCAGCACAAGAGGAAAGGTGCCCAAAGCCCTTCTGCTGAAGGTTTACATGTTGTTCTTTGCAGATTTGCACTTTTGCTGCATCTCCTTTTGCCCTTGGAGAACCAAGTTAATGCAAAGCCACTTTTCAAGGAGACTGGGCTCCTTTCCCCATGTTTTTAACATTTTTTTTCTGATTTGCTGCCATCTCCTCACTCAATGCCTTTACAAAATCACACAAGAGAGCTGAAATACTGGAAGCCCTTTTTGTTGTCTGCTCATTCACCAACCTTCCCTGACATCAGAGAGAGAGATTTTTTGAAATATTATCAATTAGGAGCTTTATGGGCTTTTCCAGCAGTTAAAAAAAGCCTCAAATATTGTCACCTCCCCCTGACATTGCAAGGCCTCATGCACCAGCAGTCACTGTGCGACGGCTGTATGGAAGGAACATCTGGGCAGGGATTGAACAGCCCATCATGAAACCCCACACGTCGCACGGGAATGCCTTGTGCTTTGTGTTTTGCAGGAGGGATGCCCAAGCACCAGGTGCGTCTCGCCTATGTCATGACTCTTAGATGATGCTGGGACCAACCCAGGTCCTCAGTCTCATTCTCCCACCATTTTCCCATCCTAACAAAGCACTTAGCCCAGTATCAGTCCCAAAATTAGGCTCTGGGAAGATGACAGAGGGAAAGCTGCACCTCCAGCAGCCACCTCTGCCCCGTCACACCTGCACATACCTGTGAGGATGGACTGGTCAACCCGCAGCGTGGTGGACCGGATTTCAATGATCCGGATGTCTGCTGGCACCTTGTCACCAACTACAAAGGCAAGAAAAAAAGAAAGCTGGAAAGAAGCGCCATCAGTTGCAGTAAGACATCGGGCAGCACAATGATGGGATCTTGAGGAATTTCTAATTTTGAGGGATTAACTTTGTGGTGGTTTAACCTGGTCAGCAGCCAAACACCAAACAGCTGCTCGCTCACTATTTCCCCCACCCCCACCAAGGAACAGGGAGAGAATTGGAGGGGTAAGGATAAGGAGACTTGTAGGTTGAGATAAGAACAATTTAATAATTGAAATAAAATAAAACTTTAAAAAATAATGACAATAATAATGGTAATAATAGTAATAATGAAATACACAAATGCACAGTGCAATTGCTCCCCCCCCACCGACCAAGCCCAGTCTATTCCTGGATAATGATCCTGGAGGAACAACAATCCTGAAACTGAAATCTCAGAAGAGCAAGAGGCTGAGACACCCTCATTTATACACTGAACATGACGTTATATAACTTGGGATATCCCACTGGCACATCTAAATACCAATTTAGGTTTGCAAATTTTAACATTCCCCCCCTAGTCCTTTACTTCTGCAGACCAGCAAAACACGAGGAAGTTGGAAAGTCCTTTATCTTCCAGCGACAACTGAAAACACTGGTCTGTTATCAATGTTCTTCTCATAACAAATACCAGTTGAAACCAAAACAGAGCGCTGCTCCGGCTACTAAGAAGAAAATCAGCTCTGTCCCAGCCAAAACCAGGACACTTGCCCAAAAGCAACCAGCCCAGGGAGTGGGCAGCAGCACCGAGGCCGAGGGGGTTACTCATGCCGTGCCAGGCACCTTCCACCCTCTCCCATGGACCAACCGCACGTTTCAAGCATCATCTCCCTCTGCAAAATTCAGCAGAAGTCAGCACTGCCCTGTCCTTGCTGCACAGGGATGCTGCTGGGTGGGTGACCTGCCCGCCAGCCCTGCCCATCGCCTTCCCCAGCTGCCACCCCAGCAAAACCAACTGGTTCCAGCCAGGTTTAGAACTACAGACTCGTTTGGGTGGGAAGGGACATTTCAAGGCCATCCAGTCCAACCCCCCTTCAGTGAGCAGGAACATCTTCAACCAGTTCAGTTTGCCCAGAGCCCTGTCCAACCTGGCCTGCAATGTCTCCAGGGATGGGGCTTCTACCACCTCTCTGGGCAACCTGGGCCAGGGTTTCACCACCCTCATTGTAAAAAATTTCTTCCTTACATCTAGTCTGAATATTCCCTCTTTTAGTTTGAAGCCATCACCCCTTGTCCTATCGCTATGGGCCCTGCTAGCTATTGTCCCCAGGACAAAAAGTAAAGGCAGAGCTCTGGGTGAGCAGAGGACCTGAGGAGTCTCCCAGCAAGCCCCCACATCCCACCCACCACAGCTGCACCTCCACAGTGACAAGTGCTCCTCCGCTGTGGCCAGAACCCTCCTGAGCACCACAGGCAGCCAGCACCCACCTCCCTTCTCCGGTCAGCGTGCCACCATGTCCCCATCTCCCCCCTTCCCTGCAAAACCCACCCAGCACCCCCATCTTGCCTCTCCTCTGCAAAAACTCCAAAACATCCCCATTTTGGAGCAGCCCAAGCCTCCCAGTGCCACTCTTAACCTCATTTCAGGGCTCCGTGGGCTGACTGGAAGTTGTTGACATTGGAAGACGTTTCATTGCCAAGACAAACAGCCGCCCATGGGTCCCTTGGCATGGCATGATGGTTACGGGTGAAAGCAGCCCCATCAACTGACAGCCACTGGCCATCGCCCACCGAGGCACACGTGCTTCCTTAAAAAAAACACTTAAAGCTGGTTTTCCCACTGGGTTTCTTCCTCCTGGCTCTTCCTCCCACTCCCTTATCGGCTGGACACAACCATGCTCCAGCACTTTGGAAATATTGAGGCAGAGCAAGCCCTGGCTCACAGCACCTGACATCACGTTACACAACACTCCCAGCTTGGCCGCTAACCACCATCTCCAATCCCAGACTTTAACGAGCGCTTCCTCCTGGGGCTCATAAAACCCACCCGAATGCAGCGAGACGGGGGCTGGCACTGCTCCATCACCCAGCCATTTATTCCAGCTGTAGATCCCAGCGCTCTGGGACACGGAGTGCAACATCTGCTGTCCAGCCAGACCTGTCCCGCTCCCCATCGCACCCATTTCTGGGGGTTGAGGTGGGGGTACTAAGCACAGCGACTCACAGACCCCCCCCCAAAAAATGTTCCCTTCAGACTTTGCAGCTGCTTGAGGGAGATGAAGTGTCTTAAAGGCAGCAAAGAGCTCCTCTTGCTCCCTGGGAAAGAGGGTTTGCAAACATCAGCTCAACCTGTGGATGAAAAATCTGTTGCCAAGCATCTAGAGACAGCACCGAGCCCCGACAGTGCCATGGGGGGAACATCTGCTCAAGGGCAGACAGTGCAAGAGCATCCCCGGTTGCCCAGGGAGGTTGTGGCTGCTCCTCCCTGGAAGTGTTGAAGGCCAGGTTGGATGAGGCTTTGAGCAACCTGGTCTAGTGGAAGGTGTCCCTGCTGCTGGCAGGGGGGGTGGAACTGGATGAGCTTTAAGGTCCCTCCAACCCAAAGGATTTTGTGGTTCTATGATTCTATGACTCACACGGTGCTGGACAGACGTACGGACCTGCCGGCTGATCACCCAAGCACGGCAAGACTCTTCTGTGCTGAAAGCC